AACTGACTACAAGGGCCATTGCCACCGCCTCCAATGTGAACCCACAATTTAAGGCCCCGTCCACACGAAGTCAAAACGAACACGAAACGCTAATATTTTCCAGAACGTTTGTCTTAAAGACGGAGACGTAAAATAAATGTGATCGAACACATGAATACATGAAAACGCTGCAAAATGTATGCCAGGCCTGTAAGTGGCGCTGTGGTGCCAAAGCAAAAATAGGCGAAAACAGACAACCCAAAACCTTCGCCTGGTTGCCCTGCGGGTCCATTTTCGTGGTTCAGTCAAATTCAGGTGCTGAACTATGTCGTCGATATTGCTCTGTTCTTCCTGGAGATATTCCAGAAGAAGAAGATTCTGTTGTAAGCCCGACAGCAGGGTGAGTAGCATGAGCAGCAACCATTCAACACAGTACGGCGCCATTGTTGTTGTGATACTGTGTCGCGCATGCGTGTTTAGAGGCGACGCTATGACACATGCGTGTAAGAAAAAAATGCGGTCAGAGCTTAAAGATGGAACCGCGATAACGGTGTTTTAAAATCCTCCCACTCTGAAGGCTTAATAAAAAAAAGATTGTTTACAGACCCCCGAAACGCCGGCTTCGTATGGATGAGAGGCTGGTTTGGTGAAAAATTTGTGAATTTAGGCCAGGGTTTGACTTTGTGTGGATGGGGCCTAAGGATGAATTATGTGAGAAATATAGTGTAGCCAATTAGATTTTTAAGAAAAAAAGTAACAGCAGTTTGAAAAGCTAAGTTGAGCCAAAAGAAAGGAGTAACAACTAGCTTCCTGGAAATGTAGTAGAGTAGAAAGTACAATATTTGACTTTGGAATGTAGTGCGGTAAAAGTTAAGTACCTCCCCAAAAATACTCAAGTAAAGATATTCAGAAAATGTCCTTGAGTTCAGTAATCAAGTTAATGCACTCCATCACGGTCCACCACTGGGTTTAACTGCTATCAGGAAGTGATGTAGGTATAAGTTCAGTGTGTTACACTTTCAGATCGGAAGAAGATCAACTACTTCCGATTCAATTTATCACATTTAGGCTGTGATCCTGTCTGCAGTCCTAAAAACTGATACTCCAAGTGTTGAGTTAATGTCGGAATACTACCGGCAGCACTGAACACTGAGGCAAAATAAACCTGCAGGTCCCCAGTACGAAATGACCTGAAAGCCTCCTTTTCTTCCTAACTGTAGCCTGACAGATATACCATCTTTCTTGGCTGCTAAGAACTAAAGGAACTAGCCCTAACCTATTTCTATCATACAGCTGCACATGGTTCAGATAGGAACTAACAAAATAAAATAATTCTCAAGGGTCTAGAAGTGGCTTTAGACACAGCAGAAATATGACAAAAACAAAAAAACATACCTGATTAAAGGTTTTGAAGTGCAGTTCTTTGAAGATAGCATCCCGATTCTCTACTTCCATCCAGCCTGTTGCCCTGAGCTCCATCACCATCTGATCCCGGTCTGCAGGGCTGAGCCAGTGGGAATCTGATGACTGGACACAAGTGACCCCCCTCATCACAGTCAAATATTTTTCATTCCATTTTTATTTTGGTTCTTACAGAGAGTTTCAACTATGATGCCAGAAAATCAATACACAAACAGGAATGATGTCAGAGAAACTCTGAATATTTTTTTTTTTTTTTACATTTCAAAACGGATTTTTTTCTGCCAAACTAAATGTATTATTTCGCCATACTAGTCTGCATGCTAAAATATCATTATTTTCTAAAATGTTTGCTCATTGGAAGAGCTGGCAGCAAAAATCTCAAATAACCTCTGGAGTGAGACCTCCAATAATCTCACATTTCATTTCTAAACGTAATGTTACTGAGTCTGAATATCAAAATTACGGCTGCAATTTAAAGTTTATTTGCTTTGCCTGAACTACTTTAACATGACTTGTTAATTAAATCGTACCAACATAATAGCTTTTCTAAGAATTCATTGTATCAATTAACAGATTATTAAAACACTTATTTAACCTGAATGTAAATAAACCAATCAAGTGAGGAGAATAATGAATCAGAATTTGATAGGTTGTGAGAGTTTGGTCAATACAAAAAAAATAAATAGTATAAAGTTGCATTCAGTCATACATATAATATCATGTATGACTATAAAAGGGTTGAATCCTCAAGCCATAATACTATATTATTGCAATCATTGTTTTCCAATTGCTTTTCTTGACTTAGTAGAGCATACTTATTATTGCAATTATAAAAACTATAAGAGTCAAGCCTAAAATATATATAATTATCAGAGCATTCTCCTAATGTGGACACTGTTGTCAATGAAAATGAGATGGTATGGACTCTGTCATGACTTAGAGCAAAAAATAAATATAAATGGTAGAATAAATAATGGATCTTTAACTAACTGTTTTGAAAATAAATAATTTATCTGTAAGGATCGCAAATAAATCTTTTTTTGTATGCTGCTACTTGGGTGCAATCTTGTGTCTCCAGAAGATGGCGATGTTGCACCACTAATTGGGAGCTGTCAATACTGTTTACATTTTATTATTAAATCCTAAGGTAAAATATATTTTACTTACAGTATCAATTATATAATTCATATCTCAACATTTTATTGTGGCGAACTTCTCGTATTGTTATTTTATAGTTTCTCCCAACTTATAAGCTTCTTATAGCTGCATTTTAGACACTTATTCCCAAACTGAAACGCGATATAATAGAAATAAACGTCGGAAAAACAGAATAGATTATAAATAGTATCGCAAACATAGACAAATGTTCCAATTAAAAATGCAAAAAAATATGTAAGAACTTTATCAGAATTCAGTGTTTTCCACTCGACACAAACTAAACTTAACACACACTACTGCTGACTTTTCCAAACTTATCCCACCAATAAACACCGTTATCGGGGTAACTGTAGAGTCCCGCTCGGATTTAAAGGAGCTAAGAGGTGCTAATGCTAACAGAGGAGTTCAGGCACAGCTCTCACCATTTTAGAGGAGTTTCTGTGGAGCACGGGTTCCTTCAGGATACTCAGCCGGCTGCAGGGCCGAGACCTGCTCGTCCTCAGGATGAACATTAACCCAAACATGTCTGTAGGCTGAGTTTTCGCTTCACAGCTGGTTCTGCGCAAATGCGTGTCCTCCCGTTCAGGGAAGCTGTTCACAGTACTGCCTGATCAAAATTCATATGAACTTAAAACATTTTTTGCTTTGTTACGTTTATTCTTGGGGTATTAAACATTTAGAAAAAAACAAAAAAAAAACAGGGTGGATTAGTAATTATTTTTAAATTATTTTACACTGCTCAAAAAAGAAAGGAACACCTAAAAAACACAATATAATTAAAATCAAATCAATCTTCTTACAAATCAATCTTAAAAAGCTGATTGGCAATCACTTCGCATAAAGGAGAAAATATATGGAATTCACTATATATATATATATATATATATATATATATATATATATATATATATATATATATATATATATATAACCTATATAATTCGTATATAGTACAGCACTGAGTACATGTGACAGACATGGCAGAGTCTAGAGACACCATGGAGAGAGATCTACAACCTGCAACATCCTTCAGTGTGATCACTTTAGAATAGAATTCAACTTTACTGTCACAAGTACAAAGCAATGAAATTCACTCTCTGCATTTAACCCATCTCTTTGGGGAGCAGTGGGCTGCAGGTGTGCAGCGCACTGGGAGCAGTGTGAGGGTTAATGGGTCCTACTCAGGGACCCAGAGTGGCAGTCCGGGAGTGGGGCTTGAACTCAGAACCTCTAGGGTCCAGGCACAATGCCCGAACCACAAGACCAAAAATCTCCTTTGGCAGTGGGTTGGTAATGGTGTGGGGTGGCATTTCTTAACAGTCCTCCATGTGCTCACCAGACGTAGCATAACTGCCATTGGGTACCAAGATGACACCCTCTGACCCCTTGTGAGACCATATGCTGGTGCAGTTGGCCCTTGGTCCCTCCTAATGCAAGACAATGCTAGACCTCATGTAGCTGGAGTGTGTCAGCAGTTCCTGCAAGATGAAGGCATTGAAGCCATGCACTGGCCAACCCGCTCCCCAGACCTGAATCCAATTGAGCACATCTGGGACATCATGTCTTGATCCATCCACCAACGTCACATTGCACCACAGACTGTCTAGGAGTTGGTGGAGGCTTTAGTCCAGGTCTAAGAGGAGATCCTTCAGGAGACCATCAGCCACCTCATCAGAAGCATGTCCAGGCATCATAACTAGGCCATACAGGCATGTGGAAGCCACACACAATACTGAGCCTCATTTATACTCGTTTTAAGGACATGTCATTAAAGTTGGAACAGCCTGTAGTTTGTTTTTCCACTTTAATTTTGTATATGACTCCTAATCCGGGCCTCCATTGGTTATTTTGATTTCCATTGATTTTGGTGGGATGTTTTGTTTTATGTCAGCAGATTCGACTTTGTACTAAAAAAAGTATTCATTGACAATGTTTCATTTATTCAGATCTACTGTGTGTTGGACTGTTCCCTTCATTCTTTTAGTAGTGTATATTCCTAAATAAAATTAAGATTTTCATTTTCTTTTCAAATTTATTTATATCAAACCTTACTCCTGATTAAAAAATAAACTAAAAGAATGTTTTAAAAAATCACTTTAAAATCCTTTTTTGACACCGTTTTCTATTTTAAGGGGATTTGGGATTTTTTTTTAGTTAGACCTTTTGATCAGCCAATTTTGTTAAAGAAAAATTGCCCTCTTAACCTTTTTTATTTTATCTATGTTTTTCTTTTAAGAAGCTGTATATTTAACCTCAAGATCAAATAGTACAAAATAAAATTTCCTACATTATTTTTAATATAATTTATCCAGATCAGAAAGCAGGGCAAGTTTTACAGTTTTCCAGGTACACTACTTGGTATAAGTAAAAGATTCACTGTTCTGAATTAAACTCAAAATCTTAAAATTCTTTAAAAATATATATAAAACTTAACCTTTTAAATATTTTTATTTCACACAAAAAAACACGAATCATGAATTAATTGCCATTATAGCCAAAATCTAAAAGTTCAGAGCTTTCAAAGTTTTCATTCCTGATGCTCGTGCTCCTGTCCAGGTATGAGCCAGCGGAGGCTGTCCGCCCGCAAGATGGCGTAGACGGTAAAGCCTGTGATGAAGAGGATGGAGAAGACCAGCAGCCAATCGATGCCTCTCACAGGGATGCTGGGGAGTGGCCCAAGGCGGTCTGCCTCCGTCACATTTCTGTTGGCATCTGCTTCAAACCCTGAAAAAGGCAAGTGAAACATCCATGCTCAAATTTACCATTTAGTTGAATGGAAATTCTTTCCACTGGGGGTTTACTGATGGTATCTTAGGGATGACAATCGATTATTTGAACATTTCATTAAATATTTTTGTCACTTACAGAAAACAAAATGCATCATTAACAATGACTATTGTAAAAAATCATTTATTTCCTCCTGGTCTTGCTGATGCTACCTATGTATTGTGGAAAAACATGGGGTGTTAAAACCGTTAATCATCTAGTTAAAGATGACACTTTTCTGAGCTTTTCTGATTTGTGTTCTGAAAACAAGCTTCCGGTTACTCACTTGTTTCATTATTTTCAGATATGTCACTGTAAATCTTCCTTTTTTTTTTTTTTTTATCTTATCCTTATCTTCCAAACACCCAACAATGGGAAGAATTACCACCACTTAAATCTAATAAGAACTCATTTATATTAGTTATATATAAGCTCTTATGGAATTGGATACATACACAGCATCTAAAGTTAAAACATCTTGGGAACATGAATAACCATTTCGGATCAACAGAGGAAAAGGCTGATATCAGTTATTCGGTTTAGTACATCGCCGGCTAGGTTGCAACTTATTCGATTTAAAGTATTGTACAGAGTTCATTATACTTAGTTGCACCTTTCAAAAATTTTCCCAGAGATAATAGAATGTGAAAGATATGATACAAGCCCATGCAACCTGAGCCACATGTTCTTTTTGTGTCTGGCGCTTCATAATTTCTGGAACCAATTTAATGCTTTTTCTCTAAAGCCCTAAAAACAAAAATTCACATGAATCCTTAATTAGCTATAACTGGTATCCAAGTAAATACTTTTTAAATGACCCTTTTTACAACAAAATATTGGCTTTTACAGCACTTATTGCCAGACCACGGTTTCACAATGTTCTATCATTTCTTACATTTTCTAATGAAAGGAAACCTATTCCTTTATGAAATATTGTAAATCACTTCAAACTGTGCCTTCAGAAAAATATACCCTACCTCTCCCTCTGCTTGCATTGGTGTGTGTTTTGGGGAGTTTATTTAGATTTTTGTTTATTGAATATATGTGTGTTATATGTAACGGCCTTTAGATTTGACTTGACTTTAGTCCATTGTAGGCCTATTGTTTCATGGGAGGAAAAACGAAAATGAAAGACATTTTGTATTTTCTTGATGTATATTACTAATCTGTTTCCTTAATAAACACATTTATAAAAAAAAAAAAAGAAAAAAAAAAGAAAACTAAATGCATGAAATACTTAAACGATTGCCTCAGAGGGAAATTTGAAATTTATGAATTTATAATCTTAAACCATTTTTTTGAGAGTAGAAAGGCCATTTTTGGCCTAAGTGAATTTCTAAAATTCATAAAACAGAAACAAAATGTGCAGCAGGTTCTGTTTTGAATCCAAGAGAAAATGAAAGAATCACAAGATTATTTTTATATAAGCCTCTAAGCAGCACAAGTCCATGACCTTTACCCTATTGGCTTTCAGCTATAAAATGTACTTCCAAATATAGGCTGTTAGTTGATACATTAATAGACCAAACATGTTGGGAAATCTCCGTTTTAATACACTTAATTAAGATCAGAACTGAAATTTGTAATGATTGGTTTATCTCTCTTTGAAAGATAAACAACAAAACTTTTGTTTTCAAGCCCAAGAATCTTTTTTTTTTTATATTTTATTCTCAACAGCAGAAATGCAACTAAGGCCTAAAGCAATAAGATCTACAGAGAGCTTAAAGGCCTAAACACACTAGCTGATAATATGACTTTTTAATCCTTGATCTGATTTTTTTTCCAGGTCCCACTGGCTGCGTAGAGAGGCTCCGACCAGTTAGGGTGGGCAGATCTGTGCAGATTTTTTTTCACTTCTGTCTTTGCTAGCCACAAATTGAAACAATTTCACACATTTGATGTAGACTGATTATGAGAAGTCATAAAAAAATAAATAAAAAAGTTATTAAAAAGTTCTACTGGATTCACTTTGTATTAGATTTTTTCCTGCTTCACAAAGGTAAGCAGCGGCTTGACAAAGCCATGATGGCAATTATTTTACATTATTATGGTATCGGTATCGGCCGATACTGCACAGCCAGGTATCAGTTATCGGTATCGGGGCCAAAAAATGGCATCGTCGCAACACTAGTATAAATTGATTGATTTATTCATTGTTTTTGCAGGAGTTTGTCCCGCTTATTATATACACAATGTGCGACTCCAAAACTGTGGTTAACAGATTTTATTTAGTATTTTCCCCTAAAGTTGATGTGTTTTACTTTGTAACCGTGTCTGTCCTCTTATCAGACCCATGAAATTGCAGCTGAATTGCTGCATAGTCCCACTAAAATAGACCTGGGTTCTATCTATAAGCTCCCTTATCTAAAAACATGTTGTGTGTGATTATCCCCATTGACTTTCAAGGAGCTCCAAAAGCCACAACCTCGTTCGACACAATTTTATGTCAGATCAGACAAAAAGTCGGATTCCATGCATTTCGGCCTTGAATCTGCAGCCAGGCTGCATTTATATGCATATTACACACACTCTTGGCCAGCAGAAAAGTTTATATTTGAAAAAAAAACCCTGTAATGCTGTAAAAAAAAAAAAAGGTTCTGTTTTCCACATACCTGTCTGGTTTGTGATGAAGGAGGTGAGCATCTCCAACGTCCTATCCGTGTGGTTGAAGCGAGCCATGGGTTTGGCACCCTGAAACAGCAGGATGTTGGGAACTGCCACCGTCCCAAACCTCGTAGAGAGACTGATGATGGAAATACCAAAAGAACAATGCTTTAAGAGACGGAAATATGGAGAGGAAAACTCCTGCTTAACAGAAAGAAAATTTAAAGTTTCCATCCACCAAAGTGTTGGCCCATCAAGATAACATTTGTTTTGTTTTTTTTTTTGCTAAAATATCTCATTTTGACAGCACTGGGGACACAAGAGGTCCTGAGGGAAAATGGACGACAAGTTTCTTTATGTCAAACCTTCAAACTAAGACCTGAAAGTAGGTTCAGAGACCAGCTGATGAACAGAAGGAAGGTGTGCAAAGCATCTTCAAACTTGTTTTCCAAGTTTGAAGATGCTTTGCTTCCCATCCATGAAGCTTTTTCGATTCAAAATGTCAGAATTAGCGTTGAGTTCCAAGCTTTATAGAGTAGCCCATCAAAGCCTTGTTTTGGCTTAAAAAACATGCAAATTGAACCAGAAGTACAGGTCTACCCTTAATAATGGGGGGTCACTGGGTTCTTTGTTAGCCTGCAATAACATATACTGGTCTATGCCTCTGAAAGGGGGAGTCGTTAGGGGTATTGTGTGCCTGGCTACCCAGGTGATTTGTCTTGGTCCCCTAGATGAGGATTATGGTAGCGGGAAGGAATCAACTCTATCGCTGTGTTGTAGGTATTTTAGAGCTGAAACCTGAGTCCAACCCCTCTGTTTAAAGTATTTTTTTCTCTCTTAACATAAATGGCTTCCTTCACACCCCTTTCAAACCACCTGTCTTCAAAACAATGCTTTGTTTGGGCTACTCTATAAAGATTGGAAATCAATGCTAATTCTGACATTTTGAATTGATAAAGCTTCCCGGATGGGAAGGGAAACGTCTTTACACTTGGAAAGCAAAGACCAGCGGATTGTTTTCTAACTTTTTTGGAATGATTATGACCTGAATGACTGAGAATCTTCACCAGCATATTGCATAAGACTGAATCTACAGTTCTTTACTTCTTTTAAAGGAGACACAGTGAGTCATGTGAGGCATGTTTATACCATAAAGAGGATAGACTTCACCTGCTGTGCTGTGAGGCATCCAGTGCCAGGAAATGCATGCTGGGAAAAACACGGGGCAAAGCGTTGAAATGAGGTGCCAGGTTGGCTGAGAACTGACACCAGGTTGTGAAGAACAGCACAACAGAGCACTCTGAGCTGTTGGCATTTAGAAAATCCATCAGGTCCTAAAAGAAGATAGAAATAGTCTTTTTTTTTATCTAAAGTTATTTACATCAATGAGGTTTTACTGATTAATACAAACACTTCACTGGCAAAGATGACAGAATCAAAAAAAAATTATCAAAATAGTTTTCAAAGTGATGAATGTTAAAGTTGGCGTTTAGAGTACAGTAAAATTTATTTCTCCCCTTAAACATCTTTTTTTATGGAAATCAAGTGTTTGCAATAATAAGAAATTAGTACTTTACCCTGAGGAGAAATTTTGTCCCTCCTTTCTTTGCTTAACTGTTATAACTGTGCTATTCTGGGTTCTTCTGTGAAATCCTGAATGAGGAAGGTTTACCATCATATCGATGATGCTAATCACTGTGTGTCAGAAAGCCAGACGGCTTTTGTGCCATTCCAGGTTGACACATCAGACTTTGTTTCTTTAGATTGTGACATAATGTTTTGTATTTTGAGATTATTAAGTAAACTTCCTGTTGTCAGAAAGGTTCGATCTAAGATTTCTCGATTCCAGAGGTCAGAGTCTAATCAAACCTCGGTGTGGCATTTTTAATCGTTCCAGGTTAGTTTAGATTAGCTTAACAGGAAAACAGGAAGTAGTAGAACCGACCTGTGAGGTATTGAGGACCTGCACGGAGAAGTTCTCCATTCCCGTGATGTTCCTCTTGTCACAGTTTACTTTGTATGTCTTTGTTGTCTCTGTGGTGTTCTGCTCCTCAGCTGGAGGGTGTGCTGGGACCATCTGAAGAGTAACCTGGTGGCAGAATATATTACTAAAGATCTGTGTCACTTAGATCTCTCCTGAGAACTCCTGTTCTCCAGGGCCAGTGTCCTGCGATCTCTAGATCAGTCTCTGCTTCAACACACTTGACTCAGGTATGCATGATAAGGTATACCAGCTCTTAAGAATTGGTGAGTCTGAAACCACAAAACAGCTTGAATTTATGTTACTGAGCTTCTGCTGACCAACCTGTTGCTCTGATTCTGACTCCTCTTCATCCAGCTGCTCTATGTCTTCAGCCTGAGCAGGCGAAACGCACTGATTACTGCTCTCGTCACAAGGTGGAGAGAAGCCGGACGTGATGTCCTTCACATTCTTGGGAAAAAGGGATTCCATGCGAGACGGATCGACGGGGGTTTCAGTCCCCATCACTGCGTCTGCGATTTCAGCCGTCTTAAACTGCCTTTTGGGCAGAGAGTCCACCTCTTCTCCGTCAACAAACTTGGGATTGTTCTCCAAATCAGACACAGTCTCCTGTGGCAGCACAACCTGCAGTGACTCATGATTTTCTAAGGGGAAAAAAAAGGTAAAAATAAACCATGATATTTTCAGTGCCATCGATAAGAGTCCTTACAACACTGATAATAAAGTCTGGGTAATGCTAAGCATAATATATTCAAGTTTTGGACATTCTGACCAGTTTTATTCTGAAAAAAATAAATAAATAAATAAAAGAATCTGACTGCTGTGTAATAATGGAAGAAATTACAGTATAGTAGCTTAATAATCAGGTAAAACATTTTCTGCAGCATCAGCCAATGAGTTGGCATATGGAGCGTAGACAGAAAACACTAGTGTAACACTAGTTTATCTCTTTGGGATGGTAAAATTGCGCTTGTTTATACTGAAACAGCAGCACATGTTCAAACTGCTGAGCAGCTCTACTTTGACATCACTGTGCTACTATTCCTGAAGGCCACTCTGAAAGCAAAGTTCTCCAGTACATATCATATTTGGTGACCTTTATAAAAGAAAGAAGTCACCTGTTTAGAAGTTTAGCAAATCCGGCTTTGAATTGTCAAAGATTTTAAAAGCTGTCTTTGGTAAAATGCTTAGAGCAAATGAACAGGTGAGCATCAAACTTTGCAGGGATCTTCTGATACACAAAAAAATCCATGCCTGTTGAATGTTTGGATACTTGGGAAGACTGTGAAAATTTTCCTTTTTCTCCGTGCAGCCTGGAACACTGCATTTCCGCCCGTGGTTGTGGCTCATTTTCAATAGAGAAACTGCCTGCTTTGTAACTCTTGTAGAAGTAAACCCAACTGTAGGCTAAACATCTAAACCGGTCTCCTAAATCTACCTCTATTCATGTTAAGGCAATGAATAGAGGAATAAGGCATGTTAAGGCAACATCCTCGAATTTGTCAATTCGGGGATCTTGCTTATTTGGCATTGTTTTGATTCGCCCGTTTTATGGTGGAAGTTTAGAATTGAGAGATTTGCAGAGAAAGGAGGTGCCGATGGTTCGTTATTCATCCATGACAATGTCATTCTATGACCCCTTTAATGACGAGTACTGAATTTGTCATCTGTGTGATAAAAGTCTCCTTTGTTCTTCTTATCTCCAAAATCAGGGATACGGTTCCCACACAGAGACTTCCAGACTTCCCTCTTTTCAGAAACTTACTCCTGTTCTGCAGGGGGAAGCCAGAGACACTCCAGCCAAAAGACATAGATCCTCCATCGTGTCCTGGGCCTCCTCCCAGTGGGACCTGCCTGGAACACCTCCCTATAGAAAGGCTAACAGGAGGAAGATCTCCTAGCCACCTAAGCTGACTCATCTCAATGTGGAGGAGAACCAAACACTCTCTGAGTCCCTCCCAAATGACTGAGGCCCTAACCATATTTCTAAGGCCGAGCCCAGCCACCCTGTGGAGAAAGCTCATTTCAGCCGCTTGTATCCAGGATCTCGTTCTTTCGGTCATGATCCAGATTTAATGACTAGAGGTGATGGTAGGAACTTAGACCAACCAACCAGCTTTTCCTTTTGCTCAGCTCTCTCTTCACCACCACAGACCGGTGCAGCGTCTGCATTATAGCAGCAGCTACACCAATCCATCTATCGATATTCCTGCTCCATTCACCCCTCACTCATAAAGAGGATCCCAAGATACTTGGACTCCTCCACTTGAGGCAGGAACTCTCCTCCAACCTAAGGGGACAAGCACCTTTTTCAAAATGAGAACCATGGCCTTAGACTTGGAGTAGCTGATTCTCATCCCGGCTACTTCACACTCTGCTGCAAACCGCCCCAGTACTTGCTGCGGGTTTTGGCAGGAGGGAGCCAGCAGAACCCATCATCTGCAAAAACCAGGGACAAGATCCACCTGTCCCCAAACCAGACCCCATCCAGCCATTGACGGAGCCTAGAGATCCTGTCCATATGGACAAGATAAACCTTTTCTACCAGCTGTAAATAGATACACATGCATACATCTTTTACTATGTGAAGTCCTTTGTAATGTTTTGTCTTCGTCACACTCAATTTCGATTGAGTTTTTGCACAACCTTCTCCTTTGAAAAATATCCTCAGTTAGAGAAGACCAAACTGTCATCTCTACAAAAGACCAAATTCATACAGCATTTCAACGTAAAAACTGTGTTTTTAATAACAGTTATAATCTATAACCCAGCTCATTTCAGTTTGTTTATGTTTTATGTGCCTATGTTTATGTAAGTCTACATCAAAGGTTATTTAAAATAGCTAGCTAGTTTAAACCGAGATTAAAAACACACATCGAAGACACCCTGCCGGTCGACAGTTTCACTTAGACAGAAATATTAGCTATTAAAATATGAAATCTAAAAATTTACATCAAATGTTAGCATAAACACCCCATTTATTATCAGCTAACAAGTAAATATTTACTGTTTAACTGTCTTACCTTCAGTTGCTTCGACCGAGACTCTAAGTACGAGGGAACAATGGATCATAAATAAAAAAACAAAGGTAACAGAGGGTTTACTGAACCTCTGCGTCATATTTTAATTATTAAAAGAACCAATTGGGAAAAAAACGCGACAGAAAATCAGGTCATGATGAAGAGATGGAAAGAGGTGTTTGCGTCCGGATACACGGAACTATTATTTCACACTGTGGCGGAAGAATAAACCTGATACACCGCTAAATGTAACTTCCGGTGTGCAAAGTAACGTCATTAAATTACATTTGAATTAAAGCTTTTTTCCTTTAAATAAAGTTAAAATAACGTTAAAAAAAATGATGAGGTCGAGCTAATTAGTTATATATATATATATATATATATATATATATATATATATATATATATATATATATATATATATATATATATAT